GCCTGCGGCTCCGGCTCCAGCTCCGGGCAGACGAGGCGGCCGAGGAGCGAGCAGGACCTGCAGGGAAGTGATTCCTAGAGAATCAATAAAAATCTTTAATGGAAGCAAAATAATTAATAATTAATAAAATAATTAATTGATAATTAATAAATAAAAGCGTGGGAAAGAACGAATGTAATTCATGAACCGGAAAAGAACTTGTACAAGAATGGAGAACGAATTAACAGAAGGCAATGCAGAAAGATAAACTACAATGAATAGAATACATGATCATTAACTGCACTTAATAAAACTGAGGGAAGGAATTTATGCACATTAGAAGGAATGCAATTCATGACCAGAAAAATAATTAAGAAAATAAATTGCAATTAATTAATAAAAGTCAATACGGCAATACCAATTGCAAGTAATAGAAGTCAATAAACTCGATGAATGAATATTAATTGAAATGAATGAAAGTGGAGGAAAGAATGAAGCGCGTTAGAAGGATGCAATTCGCCACCAGGAAAAGAATTAATTAAATTAATTGATAAAAGTAACTAAAGAAAAATAAAAATAATAATTGATGAAAGCAAATAAATGCAAATTAATTTGAAATAATAAAAGCGGGGGAAAGAATGAATGCAACTTAGAATGAATGACTCGGGATAAGAACTGACAGTTAAAATTAACAAATGAAATTAATTAAAAATAAATTAAAAACTAAAGTCAATTTATGGAAGTGAACAGATACAAATGAAAAGCATCCGGACGCGGGGCAGGCTGCCGGGGGGATGTGGGGGCCCGATGCCTCCTTGCAGGGGAGAGTGCGAGGCTTCCCCCCTGCTGCTCGAGGAGTGGCAGCTGCAGTTTGTGCTGAAACAAGGCTGTGACGTGATGCATTATAATGCAGAATATACTGTAATGTTATTAACACTACAATTCTTTTTAGCCACGTGCATTGGATGCTGTTATTGTATTATTAATAATATGACTATATATCATTCATCATATGTTATAATGGGATTCACGTTGGGTAACGTTCTTGCATGGTTAACAATACTGCATGGTTAAAAGCAATTACTGCTGTACAATAATATCCCCATAAATTACTCGGTGAGGCATTAAAACACCCTATGAAAAACATGATAATAAACACCTAGAGCACAACTACAACTGTTCTGCTCACGCTGCTCTTGCCAGGAGTCGCACGGTGCCAATTTATTGAGTCCTGCTACTGCTGGACCACAACGCAAAGGGCAGCGTTCAGATGGTAAAGGGCTCGGGGCCAGCTCCTGAGGCACTGCCGTCAATTATAACATTGCATTGCTTTTACACGGTTCAATCTGGGGACTCTGCTTTCAGTGGTGGCAGGTGAACCAAGAGCTACGGACTCAAGTTGCAGCAAGGGAGTTTGAGGTTGGATACAAGGAAAACTTTCTCACAACGAGGGTAGTAAAGCACTAGAACAGGCTCCCCAGAGAGATGGTGAATCTCCACCCCTGGAGGTGTTTAAGACCCGGCTAGACAAAGCCTTGTCTGGGATGATGTAATTGGGGCTGGTCCTTCTCTGAGCAGGGGGCTGGACTAGATGTGACCTCCCGAGGTCTCTTCCACCCCCCATTTTC